CACACACCTCGATTAATTCCAACACAAACCAACCTCTCTCTCTCTCTCTCTCTATTGTCTACACCAACTCCGACGACATAATCAACTCCGGCCACCTCGAGGACGGCCGCACCCATCGTTGACTACAGCATCCTAAGGAGTCCAATCTCCACCTTGTTCTCCACCTCTGTGGTGGTGCCAAGAAGGTGAGGTAGACGAAAAATCTTCTGCCTATCCTCCTTTTCGTGCATCTGGTGGTCGGCGCAGCGACTAGCGCTGTTGTTAGAAGCAGCACCATCGCTCGATGGTGATTCTTCTTCTCCATAGCCATGTTCTCTTGCACGATTTTTGACCAGTTCGACTGAGTCGACTCAGAGAAGTCGATCCAAAAAAAATTATTCACCTTAGGTAATGAAGGCTTCCTCTCAATTAATGATTAAGCCTTCAGTAATATGAGGTCTACGATTGGTGGATTAAATTGATTTTTCCCCATATCAATGGAGTCAGGGCATGAAAACTTGCTAATTCGCAGCGGGTTTGATGTACAAGCCGGTGGATTGTATTTTGTGCACTTGTTTAGCTTGCTTTTTTGGGTTACGATGGTGGTAGGTTGTGGTGGTGGTGGATTGCTGTGTGTGGGTCTGTTTGTGGTACGTGTCCGGATTTGTGCGTGATGGTATTTGTGGTGCAAGGAAGTTGCAGACGGTGGTATTGGCACATCATTGTTCTGCCTTGCAACATTCTTAAATCACCAACTAAATAACTCTCATTATTGCTAAGTTGCCTTGCAACATTCCTAAGTTGCCTTTCAGTCGTTTGATTGTGATCGATTGTGACTAATTTTGTGTTGATTGTGACCGATTGTGACTTGAGATTGACCTAGTCATAGACAGTCACACTCAACACAAATTTGGTTACAGTTAGTCACATTGAATACACAGGTGGTCACACTGAATACAAAAAAAAAATTCGATAATTTTTTAGGAGGTGGAGGCAGGGATGAGGTGGTGGTAGGTGGATCCATGGGGGCTGGGAGTGTGATTTTCAATTTTTAATTTTCTGGAAATCTTTAAGTCATCGGAATGGCCGCCGGAGAGGCGCCGAGCAGTGCCGTGGAGTCCGTCAGAGTGATCGCCAAAGATGATGGCCGTCTCCGGTAGAGGAAAGGTGGTGTAGTGGGGTGATAGGATGTGGTAGGTGGGTAGAAATAATTAATGTATATTATATAATATTTTAATACTTAATAAATTAATTTATCACCTGATTTTTAAAATATTTTAATGAGTTTGTTATTTATGAAATGTGATCTTTAAAAATAGGAGTTTTGTATTGTTCCCATAAAATAATATAGTGCATAATCAAATTGGGCCGAACCAATCAAAGCCCGGGCGTGGCTCAGTTTTAATTCACCCAAATAGCACTAATGACGTCACGAAATGTTTTATAGCACTCTTTTGAAACTATAATGTTTTGCGGGTTCGTTAGGGTGGTGTAGGGCCAAGATAAATGCCACTTAAAATAAAAATTTTCTCGGCCTAAATCAAATATTTCGTCTTGTATCGAGAGGATTTTTCGATCATAGTCGAGAGTATCTTGGCTAGAAGTTGAGATTCTTGATTCTAAACTCGTAAAAAAACTTGTCAAATTAAAATAATTTGATTCTTCAGAAAGTTTCTTTCATTTTCGTTTTAGGACGGTAACGTTTATTTTTTAACCAATAGGTTCTACAAAAAAAAAAAAAAGAGTTACAACGTTTGGTTTTACTTAAAAGTTACTTTCAAGTTAAGTTAAGAATTCTTAAAAGTAAGTTTCGATGGTTAAAAAAATAAAAATCTTTTTAAAAAAATAATTAGGTCAGAAGGTTGAAAACATCAAGCATGCAAGGTTATGATGTAGTTTACAACTTTAGCCCATGCCACACTAATTAATTACACTGTCCATGCGTTGTTAGAATGTGCCTTGGTCTTTGACTCTTTATGTTCAATAAAATCATTTTAAGTTCAAAGTTAAATATAAATATTAATTTTGTATTTTGAAAATGAATCTTATAAGAAAAATAAATTATTTTTTTTCAAAAGTTCAACGTGTACACAATTGCAAAAAATAGATAGTAACGAGGCTTGAACTAATAGCTTTCGTTTGTTTTGAAATTACATTGAAGCACTTCAATCTAAAAAATTAAGCAGTTAGACATAAACTACTTTATTTATTTAATTTTATCGGTAACATTTGGAATAAAAACATATCCACGTCGAGGTATACTTGCTATACCGATTATGACTAAATCTCTAAGCGAATCGAAGTTGGGTTATCTCACCCAAATTGAAGATGTGTAACCTAGATGCACCTCCTGTCAAAGTTCGATTACCTACAGTGCATTTAACCTTACTAGTTAAGGTAGAAATCAATGTTATCTCTCATCATTATTTTGCAATAATTAGGTGACTTAACAGAACGATTACATTTTTAAGTACCACTTCTCCTTAAACGACGTGGAACATAGCTAGAGTTACAGCGCCCGGCCTTGCATTATTTGAGAAGGCCTGGTTTGTTGTCTTCGTATTAGGACGTGTAGCTAATAGATCTGTACGTGTAATTGCGGCTGCGGTTTCACGGGAAGCAGGGAAACCATTGGTGATACAGCGAGTGGTGGTTGCACCATCGGTAATGGCCATGATTAAAGAAGATAGTTATGTTGACACGTGTAGTACAATACTGCAAATCAAACAACGCATTTGGATACCCTTCATTGGATTTGACAGTATTGGACATGATTAAATGAAATAGTTATGTTGACACGTGTAGTACAGTAATACAAATCAAACAATGCATGTGGGTACCCTTCGAGTACTACTCGACTCTCCTCAGACAATCTCCTTTTGTTATGACTGCAAAGTGCAAACTCATCACTAATGACCTGATGACACAAACCAGAAACTTGGATTCCGAAACCAAACTATGCCCTTTTTCCCTTTCCCAGTCGAAGAAACTACTAAATCTTCAACCCACAAAAGAATCATGGCTAAATTATATGGACTTTGGTTGAACTGTTCAGCCGTTGATTAGTACAATACAAACGAGACATCTAGTGCTCTTACAGCATTGTTCTGAGAACTCATTGTTCCAAGACATGAGTCGGTCTCATTCGTACATACCTATGTAACCATCCAAGGCAGAATTGAAGACTATCCCAAAAATTTAAAATTGACTTTTTGGTGCAAAATGCACATGTTTACCTTACCACAGGAGCTAGAGGAGGCGTTTGAAAAATGAGATTTTCTTACTTGTACTTGTCCATAATTCTTCTTGCTTCTTCTAAACTGTCTTCAACAGAAGTAGTTCCTTCACCACCACCCCCTTTTGGCCCTTCATCCTTATTCAATGCTATGAATACGAAATAACTTAGTCCCATTACAGCCTGCTCACCAATTAGGAAAATCGATCTTGATTTAGTTAAAACCACACAAGAGAGCATAGGAAAAGTTAATGTATGCATCGCCTTGAAAACATACCAGAGCAAAGAATGCTGTAGACAGGAATGACTTCAGTACAAAGAGTGCCAAGGTCCCAGCAATTACAGTTACGGAAATCCTGGCAATCGGTCTTGGAATAGAATCCTTAAAATGGCAAAACAAAGACATAGTGCTTGTCATCATTGAAAGTAAAGGTCTACACAGTCTTAGATTATAACAAGATTAACCAATAAGCAAAGCACACTTACAGGCACCAAGCTAGATCCTGCTTCAATTCCATCCTTTCCGACCTTCCATACTGTTTGAATAACTATTGAACAACTTATGAAAATAAAGGCAATTAGAGAACAATGCAATGCTTCGAATATAACATGAGAAATTGAAGAAGTGACTTGCATTAGTCTCTAGCCAATGTCAAAGTTCATGCTCAAGCAAGAATTCCAATAGCTTCTAATATAAAGGAAAAATAAGTAGCAAATGACTGAAAGTGGCTAAACAAAAGCTTGAATGGCTGCTTCATCATCTCAGAAAATACAAATATGATTTTATTTCATCCTGTATCACAGACTTTCTCAGCAGTTTCCCTGGAATTTTTTGAATAACCAACCCATATAACATAATCCCGGAAAGTGGTTTGTGCAAATAAGGTCTTAAATATGAAACTTGGAACAAGATAAAAACACTACTACTTGGTAGAATAAGCTTGGACTTATATTTTACCGCTCCAATCTAAAATCTCGTCCGCCAAGTAGAGCTCCAATATTACAGACAGAAATATTACATGAGAAACTCTAATATTTTAACCTCCACTAGCTACTGCAGATTACTATCTTTGATCGTGTGGCACAAGTGCACTTTTGAGAAACTTTAAAAGTTCAAGTTACAAGAGATAAATCTATTTATTGAAATTACATATTCATCGTGACCTTCACGTGTTAACCAGATTCAAGTTTCTTATCAAAGCTCCAACAAGTTCACAGTTTTTGTAAATTGGCGACATCAAATCTTGAACTTAACCACCTTGAACCACCTCACTAATAGTTCTTCAAAGACAAGATGAACTTATTTATTTGAATTATAGCCCAACATTCCCTTCACGTTCTGTCCAAATTCGATTCTTTTATCAAAAGCCTGACCGGTCCACACTCTCTCTAAATGTGAAACAGCAATCTTGAACTCATGACGATATTGAACCACGTCAAAATAGCTTTTATAGAACGGATAAACTTATTTATTTAAAAAAATTTCTTCTTTCTCAAAGTTCCGACAACCACAATTATCGTAAATGGATGACAGCAAATCTTAAACTCATGATTACATTAAACGGCCTCAAATAACTTTCAGAGAGTCGATGAACTTATTTATCTAAGATTCTAAATTATATCTTCAACATCACCATTCTACAACGACATCGAAAGGCTTCAAAATTCCTTACAACCACATAAGATAAACATTGCTCAGCCAATATAAACTATATTTATTCACACTATTTTAACAAAAAACTGTGCATTTATTTAGAAAGAATACAGTTCGACAAAAATAAGGGTACCTTTCAAGAAATTGGATTGTGCGGCATAAATGATGGGCACAGTCTGAAGTTTGGGATTCTTGAGTTGCTTAATTTGAATGCCTGAAATTAAAGTTTGCTTCTTTAATTTGAAAAGGGATTTTGATGATATAAACTGAGAAGGGCTCAGATTACTGCAACATTTTGGTGAGTGAAGAGATACAGAAAGGGTATTTGGGAATACACCTGAAATACCAGTGGAAGCCATGCTTATGTGCACAATTATATATGTATTTTCGGGTGTGCGAATACAGAATTTCCACAAATTTTTGGGCAATAATTTAATGTAATGAGTGAGTTTGAAGAAGATGTGAAGAGATTTTGTGAAAAATGGGTGGTGGTCTATTAGTATGAAAGAGACTCAAGGATTTAATTTCCGAGAATTTGTCAAAAATAGCACTAAGATTAAATATATAATGATTAAGAACATTTTTTTTTCCTCTTTTGTAAAGATACAAGGAGGCAACTAAAGCTCCACTTTCCACTTTAGATGGATAATTTTGTAACAATTCGTGTCGACCATAGCCATCGGATTCGACGCATCAGGTCCGACCTGGTTCATGTAGGATTTGATTCATACAATATGCATAAGTATGGTCCATTGGAGATTGAACCAATGTGAATTTCTTCCGTGTCTTTAACGATTCAAATTTGAAACACATCGTATGTGCTTTCCGATTTGTCATTTGCTAACATTTTTCAAATTTTAGTTATCTCAAAATCGAATTGAGAAATATTTTGAAAATGTTAAATTTACCTTTTAATTTCTCGACTAGGGTTCAAGCATGCTTTTGGAGAATATGCCTATGGAAAGCAACTTCACGTTATTTGACTAGAATGACGAGGGCGGCCAAGCTTTTGAGTTTTGACTTGGGACCTAAAACAAAAATTCTAAGTTATAACCTAGCTAATAATTGTAATTCAAACAATGCGAGAACAAAGGTTTGGCTCCCATTATTCTCTCGTTATAATGAGAATTTGATTTTGGAATAGTAATTTTTTAAGGAACGTGTGGTTAAAAGTGAAAAAAAAAATATTGGGTTTACGTGTAATATTATTTTTTGAAAACTATATAATTGATAAAAAAGAGAGAGAAAAATGAATTCTAATTTAATTAGGCAAAATAAATGGGTGACATAAAAGACTGTCTCTGTTTGATAAGAATTAAAATCTAGATTTTATTTTAAATCAAAGTCAATAATTAATTTTAATAACATATTTTATGAGCCCCACCATTTTTCAAACATACATTTCATTAAATTCTATTAAAATCTTCTAAAAGTTTAATTTTAGTTCTTATCAATCATGGGCTATATATGTTTGACTTGGAATTATAAATGTCAATCACACAAGCCAAAAAGTCTTATATCTTACCTTAATAATAATAATATTATTAGTATTATTGCAATAATTTTTGTTTTTATAATAAAACTGCCGGGAAGTGAGGCACCTTTACATAAATATATTCAAAATGATGTTGTTTCGTGTCAAACTTTGTTCTTGTATTTTTAGCATAACTATTTTTGTCAATGAGCGGAGCAGCCTTTTATTTTATTATCAAATTGTATGACAATATATACACACAAATATAGGTATACATACATAGTGTACTCATATACTTATGTACATACATACACATATAGGTATACGTACATAGTATACTTTGTTGGAACTTACGAGTATATAATTTTTAAAATATGTGAAATAGAATAAACCCCTATTTGAGCTCCATCATTCCAAGTTGTAGCCCTAGTCTGATTTCATTATTTCAAAATATATTTTTATCTCTCTTTTTTTCAATCACATATTCTTCAATGAAATAATATTATACACAAATTCAAAAATTTTGCTTCTTTTTTATCCACACATTTTTTATTATTTCACTATTCCAAAATGTATTCTCAAACGAGGTTCAAACAAACTCATAATGAGGGGAATAGTAATTTTTTGAAAAATGTGTAGTGAAAAAAGGAAAAGTTTGTATGTTTACGTATAATATTATTTTATTGGAAAATATATAATTGATAAGAAAAAAAGAGAAAAATGAATTTTAATTTAATGAAAGTCAAATGGGGCTAAGTCAGTCTCTAATAAGTTCAATGATTGAGTGTCACTCTTCAAATGTAATAGTTACATAATAAAGATTTATGACATTTAGATTTGTGTGATTTGGACCATCGGTTAGGTCCGAATTTGAAATGATGCAATCTATATCAAAATGAATTTGTACCAAAAGATGCAATCACTAAAAAAAAAAAGATAAATTGGACCATCTTAACTTCATTTTACTACTATAAATCAATTCAAATAATTAATTTCTAATTATTTCTTTCTCCAAAATCCGTCAAAATGGATTTTAAATTGTTCAATATCCTCCAATCTAGAAGAGTACTGTCAATTTTTCCTTCGCCAACAAAATTACTATTGTGCTATATTAATTTTGAAATAAATATTATATCTTGAGAAATAGATGTCCGTTTGATCTTGTTGCATTAGTACATGGGGTAAAATATGTGTTAAAAGAGGATTTACAATCGTATACTGCATTTCATTTTATCTCCTTCTATTTTTACATTTCCGAACGCTTCGCTGAATTTTTATTTTTTTTATATTCATACAAGTATCTTAATTTTAGTAAATCTAACCATATCTAAGAATTTACATGTCAATAGAATATAAATCATGCACCTATTCTGCAACACTTTGTAGTACCAAATTTTGGGACATGAAATAATAGAAGTTCACAAGATAAATGTAACACGTGAAGGTTTTATTTAAAAGATAATGAAAATGGAGATCCAACTCAAATGAGAATTTTGTTAATTGATAAATTTCATATTAGTTACATATCGAAATATAGATTAACATATAAGGATTTGAATTATTTCATTTAATAAGATTGATCTTTTAAGATGAACTCCAAATCGTATTATAGTATTAGAGTCTATTAAACTTAAACAAGCAGTGTAACTCGATTAAGACTAGAAAAATGAACACATTGATATGCACAAACGAGCCACAATCTTACAGTGCATGTTAAGTAATAAATCTCACATCGATTAAATATCGAAATGTAGAGCACTATATAAAGATTTGGATTACTCCTCTGAATAATGTTGATCTTTTAAAATGGAATTCAGGTCTTACTTGATTTAATAGAAACTCCTAACTTAGGTATAAGTTGAACATGTATTGTGTAGGCTAAATGAGAGAGAGAGAGAGGCTAATCTTCACTTAAATGAGAGAGAGAGTGTGTGTGTGTGTGTGAGTGAGTGATCATTTAATGTGATATCGAATGATATAATCCTTGTTTATTTCGTATTAAAATCAGATTTTAATCAAAATCAAACGGTCAATATTAACCACATGTATGTGTCCCATAGTTTTCCAACCACACATTTCAAAAATTTCTATCACAATCTACTAAAAATCTAATTTTAATCATCACCAAACACTCACGTAACATAATAATAACAGTGAGTTGGGAAATGGATTGGCGTGATTTCTCCATGCTCTACAATAATGCAATCTAATACCACTAGTATTACAACATCAATTTAGATAACGTTATATGATAAGTTTAATTAAAGGAAAAATTAAGTGACTCATTTAATTCTACCTCTTATTTAACCATTGTTTGGTCATCATTATTTTCAAAATATATTTTTCTCTCTTATTTTCAACCAAATTTTTTTCAATAAAATAATATTACACGCTAACCCAAAATTTTCCTTATTTTGAGCTATACATTCTATATCAAATCATCATTTCAAAATGGTTTTTCTTTTTTTTTTTGGGAAAAGGGGCACAAACGTGCTCTTAATGTCACGTTAGTATCATCTAAATTGTTGTTTTAATATTAGTGGTGCTAAATAATTTATTTTGTCTCATTCATCTTATGTTATTCTTTTATGAGAAAGGCGGATTGAACAATTCGAAAAGTAAGTGCTTGTTTGATAAAACTTTGCTAAAATTTTATCTACTTTTTAACTAATTAAACTCTAATTTTAATTATTGATTTCTTGAGATCCATAATTTCACCAACTTTTCAACCTCACTTTTTATCAATTTTTTTTATTTTTTTATCGAAATCTATTAAAACTCTCATAAAAAAAGCTTCGTTGAATTTTCGTAGGAGGGCATTGATCTTGAATAAGTAGTCTACAACGATGATTAGTAATCCCTATAAAATACCACTAGAGCACCAACGATTTCTCAAAATCTTGGATAATTGATAAGTCGAAAAACTGATGAACTAAACAATTCATAATTGACAAATATCGTACTTAACATTTTGTTGCATCATTCAACTTTATTCACAAACTCCACATTCAAACTTCGAAACAGGATGTCTATTTAGAAAACATGGTGTTCAAAAGACAGGGTCATCCACTTCCAGCACCACCTCCAGCATTCACACTCGACCTCCACATCCAGCTCTAGCTCCACCTCCACCTCTAGCACCACCTCCAATTCCAGAAAAAATTCATACAATTCGACCTCCACATCCAGCTCTAGCTCCATCTCCACCTGCAGCACCACCTCTACCTCCACCACCAGCACCAGCTCCACCTCCACCTCCACCTCCACCTCCACCTCCATCTCCAGCGACCGCCCCAACTACTGTCCAACCAGCCTCAATTTTCGAACGAATCAAATAAAAAACATACCGCAAATCGGACCCAACTACTCACAAATTCAATAGCGACAAATCACAAGCAAAGAAAGAAAACCTTGATTTGGAGAATAGAAATCTTGATTAAAACTGAAACTTGTCGATTCCGCCTTCGATTCTGCTTGACCGGAACGAACTGCCCCAAAATTGGAAGATGTCGTCTAGCACCCTTCGTCCCCTCTTTTCAGCCTTCGTTTTGGTTGGGTTTTTGCCTCCGTAGATCGATTTACAGGGAGGTGGGAGAGCGAGAGAGTTGAGAGAGAGGGAAAGAATGAGGGTGAGAGTGAGGGTGAGTCCGTTTCGCGTGTTTTGTATATTTCCCTTGTTTTGGCGTGAAATTTACAAAACGGTGTTTTTGTTGTTTTCTATTTTCAGGCAAATTTTTTTTTGCATTTTCCAAAACGCGTTTTGGATAATAAGATAGAGAACACGTTTTCGTTGTTTTGAAAAACTATAAATAGAAAAAGACTGGAAAACGACAAAGAGAACGAGGCCTTTTGCATTTTCCAAAACGCGTTTTGAAAAATAAGATAGAGAACGCGTTTTCGTTGTTTTGAGAAACTAAAAATAGAAAATGACTGGAAAACGACAAAGAGAATAGGGCCTTAATTTCTAATTATTTCTTTCTCCAAAATCCGTCAAAATAAATTTTAAATTATTTTCAAGTTTAAGTGTTCAATATCCTCCAATCTAGAAGAGTACTGTCAATTTTTCCTTCGTCCGACAAAATTACTATTGTGCTATATTAATTTTGAAATAAATATTATATATTGAGAAACAGATGTCCGTTTGAGCTTGTTGCATTAGTACATGGGGTAAAATATGTGTTAAAATGGGATTTACAATTGTATACTGCATTTCATTTTATCTCCTTCTATTTTTACATTTCACAACGCTTCGCTGAATTTTTATTTTTTTTATTTTCATACAAGTATCTTAATTTTAGTAAATCTAACCATATCTAAGAATTTACACGTCAATAGAATATAAATCTTGCACCTATTCTGCAACACTTTGTAGTACCAAATTTTGGGACATGAAATAATAGAAGTTCACAAAATAAATGTAACACGTGAAGATTTTATTTAAAAGATAATAAAAAAAGAGATCCAACTCAAATGAGAATTTTGTTAATTGATAAATTTCATATTAGTTACATATCGAAATATAGATTAACATATAAGGATTTGAACTATTTCATTTAAGAAGATTGATCTTTTAAAATGAATTCCAAATCGTATTATAGTATTAGAGTCTATTGAACTTAAACAAGTAGTGTAACTTGATTAAGACTAGAAAAATGAACACTCGAATTTAAAGATTGATATGCACAAACGAGCCACAGTCTTACATGGCATGTTAAGTGATAAATCTCACATCGATTAAATATCAAAACATAGAGCACTATATAAGGATTTGAATTACTGCTCTTAATAAGGTCGATCTTTTAAATTCGAGTCTTACTTGATTTAAGAGAAATTCGTAACTTAGGTATAAGTTGAACATGTATTGTGTAGGCTAAATGAGAGAGAGAGAGAGGGAGAGAGAGAGAGAGAGAGAGAGATCATTTAATGTGATATCGAACGATATAATCCTTGTTTATTTCGTATTAAAATCAGATTTTAATCAAAATTAAACAGTCAATATTAATCACATCAATGTGTCCCATAATTTCCAACTACAAATTTCAAAAATTTCTATCACAATCTACTAAAAATCTAATTTTAATTTTCACCAAACACTCATGTAACATAATAATAACAGTGAGTTGGGAAATGGATTGGCGTGATTTCTCCAGGCTCTACAATAATGCAATCTAATACCACTAATATTACAACATCAATTTAGATAACATTATATGATAAGTTTAATTAAAGAAAAAATTAAGTAACTCATTTAATTCTACCTCTTATTTAACCATTGTTTGGTCATCATTATTTTCAAAATATATTTTTCTCTCTTATTTTCAACCAAATTTTTTCCAATAAAATAATATTACACGCTAACCCAAAATTTTCCTTATTTTGAGCTATACATTCTATATCAAATCATTATTTCAAAATGTTTTTTTTTTTTTTTTGGCAAAACGGGGCGCAAACGTGCTCTTAATGTCACATTAGTATCATCTAAATTGTTGTTCTAATATTAGTGGTGCTAAATAATTTATTTTGTCTCATTCATCTTATGTAATTCTTTTATGAGAAAGGCGGATTGAACACTTCGAAAAGTAAGTGCTTGTTTGATACAACCTTGCTAAAATTTTATCTACTTTTTAACTAATTAAACTCTAATTTTAATTATTGATTTCTTGAGATCCATAATTTCACCAACTTTTCAACCACACTTTTTATCAAATTTTTTTTATTTTTTTAAATCAAAATCTATTAAAACTCTTATAAAAAAAGCTTCGTCAAACAACGCCTGAATTTTCGTGAATTTTCGTAGGAGGGCATTGATCTTGAATAAGAAGTCTACAACGATGATTAGTAAATCCCTATAAAACACCACTAGAGCACCAACGATTTCTCAAAATCTTGGATAATTGATAAGTCGAAAAACATATGAACTAAACAATTCATAATTGACAAATATCGTACTCAACATTTTGTTGCATCATTCAACTTAATTGTATAATCTTCTATACATCATTTGTTTTTGCATTCTTTTGTTTGTATATTCGTAAGAATTAACTTTTGATTGTAAGATTTTTAAGGTACATATATACCTCAAATAAAATAAAAATGAATGAACAGAAGACAACCAGAAAAAGGTGAAACATTTACAGTTACTGAGAAATTGGGTTTCAATTCATTTAGATTACACAACAAAGTACTGTTGTAATATATAACAACGTTACATTGCTTGTCTCTAGCAATACAAAGCAAGGATGATAGAGCCTGAGTGAACAGAAACCCTCAACAAAACTTAATTCTCGACTCCACGATGTACAGAAATTAGAGATTAGAAAATTATTATCAAGAGTCGAGTATACCGAATATGTTCTAACGGTTTGGATTGAGGGCCTCTTCTTCTTTGTATTATTTCATCGCACTGCTCGTTTGGTAAATGCAAGTGACGACGGTCCATGACCAGCACCGCTAAAATTGCGCATGTTTCGCCTTGCAGGTTTCTTGCCTTCTAATTTCGCTCCAGGCTGTCGTACCTTCACTCCCCGTATCATCTGTTACCCAAAATCATATATATTAAACAATGTATAATCTACGCATAAAAGCATCTCCCTAATGAAAAAGAAGAGAAAATTTCTTACATATTTGCCACATTTTGTGTCTGAGTAGATCACTATAAAATCTCCTTCTTGAAGTCCATTCACTCTAACAAAATCTCCTAAGAAACACGAACCTCATAATTAAGACATTCACCAACAATTACACATTAGTAAGTAAAGACAATTGATAATTACCTGTGTTTTCAAGAAGATACATTCTACTTTTGTTGTTTGGCCAAAACCTAGGAGAAAAATTACACAATTTAAAAATTCTTAACGAATACAAAATCCATTTCCATGGTGTACGTTCGACTTGATATGATACAAAATTATACATGTAATTTACCTATAGCGCATATTCCAAACACGAGAAGATCCAATGTCTTCCATGGAGATTGAAATTCCATCCCTAGATTCCAGTTCTGGAAGATGGGTTTCTGCTTCTTTCTGATAAATTAGAGGTTCAATTTTTAAGCTGTCAATTAATTACAATAGAAGGCAATTATAAGTGAAAACCAATAAAAAGTTAAAAGAGATTACTTTTGGCAACACAATCCTTCCCAGATTACCAACATCACTTTGCTTTAAAACTTTCTGCAGCAAAAATTTCAGGTTCTTTTCTGTCTTCCAACTCTACCCGTAAACAAGAAAAAATGTCTTTTTGAGTAACAAAATTCACAGTCCTTATTATATAATTGCAACGGATCGAAAGATGGCTATTAGTGTTCTAGTTGGACAAATAAATTTCAATGTATAAGAAAATGAGAATTTAAAGCAAGAAAATCGACCTGCTGCTGCTGCTGCAGCATCCGATTTGAAGAAGCTTGCCTCTGATAACTTTGCTGCTGCGAAGAGGGACGACCGGCAGTATGCCCTTGAGATGCATCAGAAGAAGGGAGCATCCCACCAGTTGAAGGAGAAGAGATGTGGGGTGGAGACCAGTACATCCAATTAGCTGAGGAACTACCCTGACTGACATTTTCTCTGCCATCCACCGCATGTTGATCGACGTTGGTTTGATTATGATGCTGATTTTGGTGGCGGTGATGGTGCGGGTAGAGCCTCTTTTGGCGGGCCATTCTCTTCTTCCTGGCTTCTTTAGTTGCAGAAGAGTCCAATCTCACTAATCTTTCACCATTCGTATCAAAAATCTGATACGGGTTTCTGTTATACACAGCTTGGTGCTGAGGGATTCCTTGTGGAATATAGCCATTTTCAAGGAAAGGATTGTACTGAGTCGATGAAATGGGAAATTGAGATGAAGGCCAGGATTGAGCATGTTCCATCATTTGATAGTCCGCTGGACATGGATATGGAATTCCATTAATAACTTGATTCGCAGGTGGATTAACAGAAAGGGGAATAGGAACAGGAACCCCATTCGAATAAGGATCGCCATAGGAGGAGGAAGACGGTGGTGGTATAAGAGTTGGCGGTGCTGCAACCATAGTCGCGGAGGAATCCTGGACATAAGGCAGTGGTGGAGGAGGCGGCGGCGCAGCAATCCAAGGGGAGGAAGAAAAACAAGCATTGGGATCAGAAGAAACAGAATTGTAATTAAAATTGGAGTTAGGGTTTGGATCGAAATCAGGTTCTTGATATTGCTGGTAAGGTGATTGGGGGCCAGCGCCACCTCCGCTGCCGCTCAGCCGTTTTTTCTGAAGCTGGTATTGCTCAACCCACTCCAGTATAAGTTTCAAAAGCTGTTTCTTCCCCTCTTTATTACTACCCAAACGCTTCGAAGCACTTTCAATGGTGGAACGCTTCAGTTTTATATTCCTCATATCTTCAGCAGAAATATGATCTTTATTGTGCTTCAACCACTCGAAAAATATCATGGCAAGTTCACTATTTCCCTGTAAGAAACTGAACCCTTCATTTTCTTCTTCTTGATTCTGCTTCTTCTGAACATGTTGTGACCCTTCGAGCGGCGGCGCCACCACCCCTGCCGCCACCTGCTGGTTTTCCAAATACTCCTGAGGGTTTTCACTTTGAAAAACAGTAGATGGGTCCCAAATTTCGTTATTATCAATCAGATCCATGTACCCAAAATTCTCCATAACATTAATGCAATCAACATCACCTATGGCGTCATCAGAAGGCGGAGGAATATCCATGGAGGCGGTAGAGGACAAAGCGGTGGGCTCCGGTTTCAACTGATCACACTTGTGGAATTTTCCCCTCCCATAAGTATCTTCCTCCGCATCGGACTTCAAAACCGCAAAAGAATCCGCCAGAGATGCGGACGAGGCGGAGGAAGACGACGTCATGGCGGTAATGGTGATGGTTTTTTTGGGCTCTTGAGTCGAGGACGAAGACGATGAAGATGACATGCACGGAAAATCCGGAAGAGGCGGAAAATCATTGTAGAAAATTGTTGTATCATTCAAATCAAGTAGATTTTCTTGCTCTCCATCATCAAGCCATAGATCTTTCTCACCAAGATGATGATCTACCTCCATAGCATCAGAATTATTAGGGTTAATAACCGCCATCATCTCCTCCATTCTCACTTCATTTCCACTTTGCAGTTCTTGTTCAACTTTCAAATCTTTACCCTTAATCATGCTTCCTTTACTGAAATTCAACATACAACAACAAATTCTGAGGGGGGTTTTGGTAAAAATTATTTTCTTGGATACATATTCTAGAGAGAGATGGAAGAGAGAGAAAAGATATTCTGTGTACGGATAAGGAAGAAGAGTGCTTTGTAACTGATTAAGGAAGCCCTGTTGCATAGGATGCAACTTGCAAAACATAAAACATCTGGGATTTCTCTATTCAAAATCACCAAATCTCAAAGAAAACGACCACTCCTCATTAATCTATACTTACACCAAAAAAACCCTATACAAGAATTTCACATACATGGATCAATTCAAATTTTCCTAGTATTCTAGGAGAACAAGAAGCCAAGAAACCCAAAATGATAAACTTCTGAAACCCAACAACCACCATGAATGGTTCTGGTGTGTTCCGGGGAGTTTCAGTCTCTTTCTTTAATGGCCTTTCTTGCAAGCAGATAAGTTCAAATAATTTTTTGTGGGTTTTTTCTTAACTAAGAGAGAGAAATAGACCTTTACTTTAAATTAGAGAGAGAGATAGAGAGACAAAATAAGAGTGGTTTATTTGAAGGGAGAGAGAGAACAAAACCTTGTGCCGGTAGTTTCTCCATTTATATCCGGATTCTACGCCAGTATCCATACGTTTCAATCTCAATGGTGCACCCCAGCGGTGTCTCAGCCTTTTTTTATATTCTCTCTCTGCCATATATATTCATATATCATATATGTACACATATCAATCTACACATGCAGCTCATGTATATACATTCATGTATACGTATGGAGAGAGAGAGCGTGTAATTGGACCGCTTGAAGAGAGAGCTCCTTGCTTGGTTAACTGGGTTTGTCGCCATTCGTGGGAGAAGCGAGGCTCTTTGGTCTTTCCTACGTGTCTCTCAAGCTCTGACGTAAACCAGACTCCATTAAGAACAAATTAATTTTCTCTCTGTAACTACCGATAACCATGCTTTTCTGTTTCAATTATCTCGTAATTCGTCATTATCTCTGTTGACCCTCTTTTTTGCCATGGTTACGTGAATAATAGATATCTGGCCTATCGCGTTCACATAAGTAAATTTCAACATGTTTAATAAGATATTCGGGGCGAAAGGATGACATGTATGAACGTAGGAGATGCTATAAGACGCGAGACAAAAATGTTCAACCACATGCAACATATATAAACAATTACAAACAACTCAACCAAAGTGGAAGTAATCTAAACTTAAGCAAGTAAATATGGAATGCGCAAGAGAAGACAGAGTATGGTTTCAAGCATATAGAGTTGTATTAACTACAAATGTTACAATAATTGCTTATTTATAGAGTTCTGATAAACGTGGTAGCTGTTGGATCAGAATCACGTAGTCTCATTTCTCGAGCCGAAGCTTCACGTCACTCCATTTGCTATGCATTTAATTTATTGACAATGGGTCAACTGCCCTACATCCTAAGTTGAGGATACCGACATTCATTAATATAAACGTTACATCAATTATTCCCAGATATTGTTTGCAAATCCCTTAAAAGATAGCAAGCGTTTCAGCCTAAAAAGGAGTTTTGGACAGAGAAGGTGCTTCAGTCAAAGAAAGCTTCAGGTAGAGATGGGCTTTGACTATATAAGAGCTCCTGAATAATGACATAGTTTATTCTTTGACTTCCTCATTTTGATCAATTGGGTCTTTGTTGATTTTGTCAGATCTGACTCAATATCTTCACTTCTTGTGGAAGGAGACTTTCGTAGGGGAAGATACGCCCTTCCATATTTTTCAATCTATCTTCCAACCCAGGGTATTGGGTCAAGGGGACTCAAAGGGTTGGTCTTCCTTATGTTCGTGGTTGGCCCACTCTCCGTTTGTCATAGGTATTTCGTCCTCTATCAGTGCATGAAGTGAGACATGGTTCTCGGTGAGGGGGTAGTGGCATACATGTGAGGGAGATACAGTTCGTTACGTGATAGTTTCAACCTCTTACTCAGAAGCTTGTGAGTGTCACACCTTTAGTTGCCTTTTACTGTAGTTAATTTGATTTCAACCTTTTTCTTCTTTCACAGGTCGATTGAGTGTTTCGAACTAACTCGAGCAGAGTTGGGTGTCATAGAGGTCATTTAACTTGTCTTCTATCTCCAATAGAGTTTGACCGTTTGATCAACTCCCTACGAGAAGGTAACTTTCTTCAATATGGGTTCTATTCTTGCTGCCATCTCCACTATCCCAGTGAAAGGGGTTGAAGCCCTCATCTGTTGCAGCAAAACAGGTGAAGGACCAGTAGAGAAGATCAACAAGGAGGCTGCTGGACGAGAAGGAGAAGGATAACCTCCTGTCAAGGACAAATGAAGAATAAAGTAGATGAGGTCCCTAAGAAGAAGTACACATTCTCCTCTATCGGAGAGAGTGGGTCAATGGTCATCCTACCGCCTTGCTCGGAAGTCCCAGGTGGGGAAAAACTGATTACAGCCTCCATTACTGTGGCCGGGGGCCAAAAGAGGCCAACTATTATGGAGCCCTTAAGGCAAGAATGGTTGAAGAGGGTGATGACCTCAAAAAACTCAACCACTGCCTCGAATGCAACTCTTAGGACCAAGATCTCCCTGTCAAAGAGAAGCGATGACCTGGCTCCAGAAGCTCTGGCCATGCTTCCTCCAGATATTCAAACTGCAATTACCACATTCCATAAATACTGGACGGATAGGTAGCAGACTTTCATTAAGACTAGTGACTCGATGGGCATGTTCGCCACCATAGTGAGTTAGGCAATGAGAGCTTTCAGGGTCTCCATAAAGGCTGAAGTACTCTTTAAAAATCTTCAAAAGAAAAATAGGGAGTTGTCCAATATGACCTTCTAGGCAAAGGAGGCGGCCAAAAAGGCCAAAGTCGATGCTAAGGCCTATAAAAAGCAGCAGGTTGAAGAGTCTATGAAACTCGCCTCTGCCTTCGTAGAGATTGAAAACTTGAAAAAAGTCCACTTGTCCCAAAGTGAGGTGACTTCCATGACTAAGTGAATGGAGACTTCTGACACCTACTAGAAGATGGCTGCTAAGGCCTTGGAGAGGTCAAACAATGAGAATGCTACACTGAAGCGGCAAGTAGGGGAGCTCAACTCCAAGATTACTAGCTAGGTATGCTTACACTGATATGGTGGAATGGATTGAGGTGCACTTCATATTTAACAATAGTGAGTTAAGGTTAGAATTTTTAGGAGAGGGAGAACAAGAAGATCCTCAAACTCCTGCAGAGGGTAGCCAAGTAATAGAGATTGAAGATGAAGCTGGAGAGGACAATGAAACCTGTGAAACTGTGGCTCCCAATGCTACATTTCCTTTACTGGCATCAATTCCCCCTTCCCTACTTGTTTATTTTTAGACTTTTTGTAATTTTTCATTCTTTGTAAATGAAATATTTTTAACATTCTTGTGTTTATTTTCTGAATATCTTACTGAATTTTACATATGTCATTGCTTTGTTGTACTTTAGCTGAAGCTTACTCAATGACTTTTGTCATTGGGGCATATGCTATCCACTTCGATGAGTAAGGAGTAGGTCCCTTTCGAGATCCCATTTTTTGTGAAAGCGTCCACACTTTCCTCTACGGTGGATGATTCATCTATCTAGAGACTTCTCCTGTAACTTGCATGTGCTGTCCTCCTTGACGAATTAGGAGGTGGTCCTCTTTTGGGATCCAACGCTTCGTCAAAGCACCAACGCATCCCTGCATAATGGATGGTTAATTCATGTAGAGGCTTCTTCCATAACTTTTGTTAACGGGAGGCATGTGTTATCCGCTTTGACAAATTAGGAGATGATCCCTTTGTGGGATCCAACTCTTCGTCGAAGTGCCACGCTTCCCTTCTCTCAAGACCTTTGTTTCTTGGGAAGTATATTTCCTTTATTTCAAAAACTTTAACAAGGCTAATTTAAACAAATCAAACATGAATTGCGTTTACATCTTTACTAATAATACATCCTTAGGTGTTTTGCGTCCAATGATGAAGTTGTGCCTTCCATCAAAACGTTCAATTTTATAGGTTCCAGATCGAACCTCTTTTCTAATGCTGTAGGAACCCTCCTCGTTGGGACGAAAGATGCCCAGTCCTAGTTCCTCACAAGATAGGAATATCCTTCGCAATATGAGGTCGTTCAAACGAAATGACTTCTTTTTAACCTTAGAATCGTAGTACCAGTCTTCTTTTTAACATTAGAATCGCAGTACCAAGTCATCTTTTGTTGGTAGGTAGCCCATCTCACTTGGGATTTATTCCTCATTTCACCAAGGAAATCAGGTTCGCAACTCGTTAATTCACCATTAGATATTTCATTAAAAAGTATGCGATGAAGAGAGGGTAGACCGACCACAACTGGGCTCATGGCCTCTGCTCTATAAGCCATAGAGAATGGAGTTTCTTCTGTAATTGTCCTACGAATAGTTGAGATGGCCCATAAGACCTGAGGCAGCTCATCCACCCAAGCCCGTTTGGAAGTATCTAACTTACTTTTGAATGTGTATTTGATGATTTTATTGACAGCTTCAACCTGTTTGTTAGCCCGAGGATGATGGGGGTTTGAGAAGTTCTTTTTAATTCATAGTTCCTTCAATAAGTTTCTGACATTCTTATTATTGAACTGATGCCCATTATTTAAGACAATTGAATGGAGAGTTTCGAACCGACATATAATATTCTTCCACAAAAAAATTAGTGTTGGCTTCTATAATTTTGGTCAGAGGGTCGATTTCAACCTATTTTTTAAAATAATCAATAGCGACAATTGCAAAGTGGCTTTGCCCCTTCCTTTAGATAGAGGTTCTATAAGATCAATCCTTCACTTGGAAAATGACTAAGAACTAGAGACAACACTCAACTCTTAGGAAGGCTGTTTTTGATTTGTTACGAAGTGTTGACATTTGTAAGATCTTCTCACAAATTGTTTTACATCATTTTTTAATGTAGGCCAATAATATTCTTGCCTCAACACCTTGTGTCGTGACCATCCTATGTGATTGCCACA